CCCTCTTCCCCGACCTGACTCCTCCCCGGAGGACGGCCACGCCCACCCTTGTCTGACTACAGCGTCGACAGTCTGCGGGGAGAAAAGGAGGGGCGCCGATAAGATGAAAAGCGAGAAACTGCGAGAAACTGCGCCTCTCCCCAGCAGTGCGCTTCGGGGCCTCAGGCAGGAGGGCCGGCAGACAGCCCGGGGCAGTTCAGTGTGACAGGTCCTGGGACCCAGGGTCGGGCCTTGCCGGCACCACTGTGATGGGAGTGCGAGGGACCCGGGCCTGGGACAGAGGAGATTGTGGCCCACACCCAAGTGAGGAGGGGACAGCAGCATCGGGCTCCAGGAGCTGCCCAGGGCAGAGCTTCCTCTGTGCCCCATGCAGGTGGCAGTTCCGGCCTCGGTGGGCCAGGGCTGGCAGGAATACTGGGGCGCTTTCTAGGGGGCCGGGGGCACATAGGGGTGGGGCGGGCGGCTGAGATCCTGGTTCTCAGCCAGGGTGGCACCGAGCCTGGGGTTCCCTGGGGTTCCCAGTAACCGTGTACACTGAAGCCGTACGACCCCTTTGGTTGTCAGCTGCCTATCTAAGCATGTCTGAGGGTGTACCCCAGGACCCCAAGCGAGTCCTCTCAAATGTTTGCTTCCCCGGGCCTGACACCCAGCTCCCTGCTGCACCCCCTTGGCCCCTCGGCCTGCTCCGGCTCCATGGCCCTGGCCTCTAGCTTTGGAACAGCGCCCGCTGTTCACTCTGCCAGAGGCTCCCAGAGCACAGTCCCACCTCCCCACCTCTGCAAGGTATCCCCAGGTCCCCCAGGAGTCGAGGGGCATGGAGGCCACCCTAGCACAATGCGTGACCCTGCAGACGGTCAGCATGGGCCCTGGGCTGTGCCAACCCTGAGGGACACCGAGCAGCCGGAGCCCAGAGGCCAGCAGGGCCGGCACCACAGATCACGGTGAACGGGGAGAGCGTGCCAGAGGACACGGCAAGGAGGCACGTCGGCCCCAGGGCCCTCCAGGGCAGAGCCAACCGAGGCTGCTTCGTCCACGCCACCTGGCAGCGACAGCAGCTGGCGGGCACCTCGCAGGGACGGTGCCTCCACGGTCCTGGCGTGGCTACTCACCCCTGTCAGCACGGAGAAGACCCAGGCCTTGTGACTGAAGCACGGCGGCAGCCGCGATGACAGCTGCAGGTCGCCGGGCTTGGCGTCCGGGGAGAAGCCCCCCACGTCCGGGCCCCCTCGCTCCAAGGTGGGCATCCGGCCGTAGCCGAGCTCCTCCCTGCACTGCTCCTCCCGTGCCATGGCACTGGGGACAGACACTGGCGTTACGGCCACCGCACGGCTGGGCCTGGAGCTGAGTGTCACCTCCGCGACCACCTCTTTATTTCTGATCACTCTGAAAAAAAGTGCTAGTTGAAATAAGTTGTTTTCAATAAAAGAAATACTGTTCTTACCGAAGTTCTGTAAATTCGAAGAAAATAAGCCCTTAATTAAACGTGGGAATAAAGTCACTTTCCCAGTAGAACAGGCCCCACCCGCGTTCAGGGCGGGGCGCTAGGCTTCCGGGGCTGAGCTCGGGGTGCCCCAGTCCCTTTCGACTCCCACCTCCCACGGCCCAGGAGGTGCTGCTACTCAAAGCCCAATTAATCGCTCCAGGTGGAAACCGAACAAGAGATGGCAAAATACACACCCACGTAAGCTCCGCCGTCCGCGCCTCCCTCCAGCCACTTCGGGCGGTGGCAGTGCTGGTCTCTGCGCGAGGGGCTTGCTGCTGCCGAGTCATCCTGCCTTGGGCTTCCAGCAAGAACTATTCACAGAGAAACAAAAGCCCAGAAAATCTGCACTTAGGCCAGGAGAAGGGGGACCGCGGCCTGAATTTCAATGAGGCGAAGCCAGGGATCCTGGAGAGTTCGCTGGTTGTGTAACCGCTGGCCCGGAGCGCCACTCGTCCAGTCTTAACTGTGCCGGGGGACGAAGGGGCCGCCTCCATCCCGCTCACGCCGAGGTGTGCCTGAGAGCGGCCCCACCGAGTACAGAACAGCGGGGGGAGGCCCGCGTGCTCCGTCTTGAAAACACAGAAACTTTTGTTCAAAGGCCTTATTCTACCTCCTTTTGAGCAGCCTTGTTCCCCCGCCCCCCAGTGACCACACAAGGAGACCCCTTCACAATGGCACACGCACGTGTGCATGCTCAGCCGGGCTGGCGTGGCCCCTGAGCAGCTTGGGACTCTGGCCATCGGTCCTGCGGGCAGCCCGAGTTCCTGCTGTGCCCTTTGCCTCTGCTCCCTAAGCGGAGAGAAGGGACAGGCTGTGCTGCTCCCAGAGACGCCGCACCCCGACAGTCACGGCGACAAGTGCTTTGTGCACACAGTAACCACGAAATGGCTCGAGCTAAAGTGTTCTGGAAAACTGCTCCTCAAACGCACCCCACGCAGAGCTTGAGCAGAGACAGCAGCCTCCAATGGGGGGATGGTCTGTGGTCTTAGTTTTCCAGCCGAGAGAGAAGCCTTACAGTTCAAGTTCACAACGACAGCCTCAAAGTCAGGAAGGGCGCGCGCATGGACTGAAGGACCTCCCCAACGTCTCCGCCCACTTTCTTTCTGAGCGATAGACTCAGTAGGCATCGGTCCACTGCGTTTTTGTTCAAAGGAAACGTGAAGCAGATGTCGCCGTTGCTGTCCCTCCCCCAGTCATTCTGCACTAGGAAGTACAGACAAGCTGCGGGGAATCAGAGGCCGGAACCCAGTCCTCCAGCCTCCAGAGCTGCGGTCACCGGAGAAGGGCGTCCTCGTTCTGTCTGCCATGCTGGTGCCTAGAACAAGTCCGGTTCTTTCTAACATCTTCAAACAAGCTGTCGTTCCTCCCCGTTCTGCCTCCGAGGTCCTCCTTGGTTTCTACTTCCATTCAGCAAATATTTGCGGAGCAGCAGAGCTTCAGCTTCACGTGCCGACAGGGACAGCGGCACACAAGATAAGTACCTTAGTGTGTTCTGTGGAGAGACACTTGACTTCACGATGGCAAACAAGTCAAGGGTGGGGAATGGGGTGCCGCCTGGAGCCTCACTGAGGAGGCATCTGAGCGAAGACGCACAGGCGAGGACGGGAGTCTCACGGAGACTGGGGCAAAGGTGCCACAGGCCCCCGGGTGGAAGGCTGGAGGGCGGAGGGCACAGGGTCACGTGAGGTCAGGTGCAGGTGGGGCGTCCAGGTGCAGGGCATCTGTGGGCATGCAGATAGCCTTGGACCCGCTGAGGGTTCTGCTCGGTGGAGAGCAGGCTTCGGGCAGCAGGTGTGAGCAGGTCTGGCTGGGACCGAGGTGGAGCAGTGAGGGTGGTGAGAAGTTACCAGATTCTGCAGTCAGAGTGACATGAGCTGACAGGGGCAGGAGCTCAGGTGACTGGAAGGTCTTCAGTCTGTGCAGTGTGGGTGGAACGGGCCTCACCTGTGACAGAGAAGATGGTGACGCAGGTGGGAGGGTCAGGAGTTTCGTTTTGATGATGGGGTTGAGATATCTGTTGGATGTCCAAGCCGTCCACTGAAAAGTCGAGTAGAAGAGAGTCCAGATCCTGGAGAGGGGCTCAGGCTGGCAGACGGAGGGCACAGTCCTGTGAAGTGGAGACGTCCGGGGCAAGTCCCCAGCTCTGGGAGCCCCTGGCAGGAAGCCCAACCCAGGCCCGAGCCTTCTGCGTTGCACGGTCCTGTTTCTGAAGCGTCTTTCCCACAGACCCAATAAACCTTGGGCTGCTCCCATTCCCGTGTGTACTCCTGGGAACAACTCTGAGATGAGGACTCAGCAGAGCTTCACCAAGTCCAAGTAACGGCTGGGCCCCGTCTCTGAAGGCGCAGTAATTGCACCACGCATCCGTGGCAGGGGCGCCCCGTCAGTGGACTGGCACTCCTGAGCCAGCGCACACCTGAGCTGGCACAAGCCAAGCTCACTGGTCAAAACGAGTGCGGCCTCCAGCCAACAATTGCAGGCCACCCATTCTCTCCAACACACCTGGAACATCCATGATGAGACCATGTGCAGGGAAGAAAGTCTCAAGAAATTGTAGAAGACCGAACTCATTCAGATTTTATTCTCTGACTGTGACAAAATTTAATTAGATATCATTAACAGAAAATCTGGAAGATCTTTAAAAGATTTAAAAAATTTAATTAGATATCATTAACAGAAAATCTGGAAAATCTTTAAAAGATTAGAAATTAACAGTATATCTCTTTTAAAAATCCCATGGATCAAGAAAGAAATCACAGAGGAAATTGGAAACTAAATGAAAATGAAAATCCAAGTCAAATTTTGTAGGATTCAGCTGAGTCAGAGCTTAGAGAAATTTGTAACTTTAAATGCTTGTATTAAAAACAAAGTTCCAAAGTTCATTAGCTAATTTTCCCCTTTAAGAATTTGGAAAAGCAGAAATTATACCAAACAAAGGTAGAAGGCAAAAAATAATAAAGAATAGGAAAAAATCAATGAAACCGAGTTGGTTTTTGAAAAGATCAATAAAATTGATAAACTTTTAGCTAGACCAATGAAGAAATACAAGAGGAAAGATGTTAATTACAAAAAAAAAAAAAATTATCAAAATCAGGACTGAAAGATGGCTCATCATTGTGGCCCACACGGACATTGAAAGAATGAATTGTAAGAAATATTGTGAACAATTTTATGCCAATAATTTGACATCTTGGATGAAATGGACAAATTCCTTAAGAGAAATTACCACATTTTCCTCAGTATCACATTGGTAAGTGGAATAGCCAGTTACAGCTGATGCAGAAGTCGAATGCGTGATTTAAAATCTCTCACAAAGAAACCTCTAGGTACAGTTGGGCTCACCAGTGAATTCCATGAAACACATAAGGAATAAATTAAAGGCCCTACAGTTTTTTGGACAGTGGCGGCAGGAACATGCTCCACTAGGCCAGCTTTAGACTGATACCAAAACAGGACACAAAAGGAGAGAAAATTCCAGACCAGTGTCTGCCAGGAGCAAAGACCCCAACAGGGACCAGAGGTGACAAAACTGATCCAAGCACTACACAAAGAGGATGATAAGCTTAAGCTATTGCTGTAGGTGACTGATGCCAGGTTCTTTGGTCCCAATATCAGAGAAGTGAGCACCGTACCCAGTATGAGGTTCGGTAAGCAAAGCTTTATGAGAGATGACTAGTGTACCAGGGAACCAGCCAGAAGGAAGGAGCTGGCTGGTTCCCAGATAGGATTGTGTGAAGGGTTTTGGTAGGCTATTCTGGGAGGGAGAAGGGCTAGGGAGGGGAAGCTGGTGGATGGTCCCACAATCCCAGGATCCATCGTAAGTGCTGTGGTCTGCATCTCATGGTCAGCAGATGTCTGCTTAATCTGGTCTTGTGACAGAGTTTTCTTTCAGGTTCTGTAAGAACAAACCTACACAGGAGTTTTACAAACGCTGGTTTTTCTTACAGTGATTAATTTCATTATCATAGGACATGTTGGTTATTTTTTCAAGGTATGCTGATTGCACTGTGTTCCCCTCCTTTCTTAGTGACATATTTAAAATGTGGGCAGCAGGCAGTTCATCAGCGTCTCGAGTTTTTCCCCGGCAATCCTGACCTTGTAGACAATCTGGAGCCTGGTTTTAAAATAGAGTCCCTCTTGTTATCCTGATATTAGCTCACCTACATGCTACTTCATGTGTCCCATATCTCATTAGCATCTTAAATGGTGAGGAAAAGTTAACCGTAAGTCAGTTCTTTTAGCTAACGTGCATGCACAGCTTTAGAAACTTCTCCCGAGTCTGTTTCTATCTCCTGCAATTACGGTTCTGTTCACTTACTGTTCACTGTTTCTTACAGGCCAGGGGATGTGGCTCAAGGCTGCTTTCCTAGCTGCAGATTCCGGCTATGTGACTACCCTAGGTGACCACAGACCACAAAACCATGGCTCAGTGAGTTTTCCAGGGAAAGCAGGGGTGCTTTAACATTGGGAAGCCTGTCAATGTAATTCACTATTAACGGGCTAAAATAGGAAAATGACACAACGTGTCAGCAAGTGCATAAAAGCGTTTGAGAAAACCCCACACCCCTGCATGGTCAGGGCGCTCATAAGAATAGTAAAGGGACCTTCCACATGATAAAGAATTTCCACCAAACCAGCAACTGACAGCACCGTGAGCGGCCCAAGGCTGAATCCTCTCCCCGCCAAGGGAAGACCAGGCAGCCCGCCTGCGCGAGGCCCCGCCCACCAGCACGTGCAGGGCGCCGGGCATGACGTCACCCCCACACTGCACGTTGCCTCACTTGCAGGTGCGCTAACGGTCGCCAACCGCCAACCACTGACTGCTAACGGTTACAGCGAGCACAGAGACCTCATTGGCCATGTCGATGGCACATGGGCATAGGCGCAGGCGCCGCGACCCTATTGCCCGGCTCGAATGGCGCAGGTGCGGGAACGACGATCCACCCCTCCCCACGGCCCATTGGCCCAGCTTGAAAGGCGCAGGCGCGGGCGCGACGACCCCATTGGCCCACTCGAAGGGCGCAGGCGTGGGCGCGACGACCCCATTGGCTCACTCGAAGGGCATAGGCATGGGCGCGACGACCGCATTGGTCCACTCAAAAGGCGCAGGCGTGGGCGCGACAACCCTATTGGCTCAGCTCGAAGGGCGCAGGCGCGGGCGCGACGACCCATTGGCCCACTCGAAGGGCGCAGGCACGGCGCGACGCAGCGACCCCGTTGGCCCAGCTCCCTGGGGCGCGGGCGGGTCAACCCCATTTGCCGAGGGCGGCTGGAGGGCGGCCCAAGCATTAGAGACCTGCGTAGGAAGGCGACGTCAGAGCCATGCTGAGCCTCGCGGCGAAACTGGTGGCCTTCTTTTGGAGGAGGGCGGATGGCCCCGAGGAGACGCCCGGGCTGCCGGGGCCTGAGCTCCCGGAAGGTGCCTCGTGGGACGAGGCGGGGCACGCGGTCCTCGGGGTAACCTGCGGTTCCACACGGCCCCTCCCGGGCCCCCTCCCGGGCCCCCTCCCGGTTCCTCCCGCGTGCGAGCGGCACGCAGGGCAGGGCCGTGGTTCCCCAGCCACTTTCTCCCCTGAGGGATGGAATTCTCCACAGGGGACGGGGACTCGCGGAGGCCTGTGGGTTCGGCCCTTCCTCGATCTGGGCCGTCTGTAAAATGCGGCCTTCGAGCGGCGGCGCGGGCTCCGGCTCCAGCCGGCCGCCGGGGCTGTGCGTGCATCTGCGAGGGCCAAGTGAGGGCTCAGAGGACACTGGCTGCAGCTGGAGTCCTCGGCCAGAAGTGGGAAAGGTCACCGAGCGGCCGAGGGCGTGCCCTGCCCCTGCTCGCTGGCCAGGCTCGCCCGCCCCTTCTACCCCCGGGGCTCTTCCGTTGTCTCGTTTGCTGAGATGATAGACGACATCCTGACGCCGCTGTGCTGTCGTTGACGGCAGAAGGTAACAGTGGTAATGGCACATAGGAACGCCTGGCGGTTCGCTGGGGGAACACACCTTCACTGCGCCCTAGCTGCTCAGGTCTTTGCGTTGCCGCTTCTGTCCCGCAGACAGCTCTCTCAGCTGGAGACGGTAGCCGTCTCCGTGGGACAGGTGCAGCAGACCCAGAGCGGTTAAGGAACTGACTGGCCCAGGGTCACCCATTGGCGGTCACAGAGCTGAGATTGGAACCCCGCAGGCCGGCCCTGGAGTCAGACCTCTCACCGCTAAGCCACCCCCTGCGCCCTCAGGCCCCTGCGCGGTCTGCCCGCTGCGCCTCCTTCGGGAGTGCTCCCCTCCCTGGGGGGCCCTGCAGCCCACAGGGGTGCTGCACTCCACCCCTCTCTCGTAGGGCTTAAATGTGCTGTGGCTAGCTTTTGTGGTCCGTCTGATCTCTTTGTTTACCCACCGCAGGTGACACCAAGTTGAAAACTGTCCAGGGGCACCCCTCTCTCGTAGGGCTTAAATGTGCTGTGGCTGGCTTTTGTGGTCAGTCTGATCTCTGTTTACCCATCGCAGGTGACACCAAGTTGAAAACTGTCCAGGGTGTCGTGACAAGGTACTGCAGCGATTATGGCATGATTGACGATTTAATCTACTTCTCCAACGAGGCTGTGACTGGCAAAGTGCTTCTGAATGTTGGGCAGGAAGTAATTGCAGTTGTGGAAGAAAATAAAGTGTCCAGCGGACTGAAGGCGATCAGGGTAAGGCCCGAGTCACTTCGGACGGTCTTCGTGGGGCTCCACGTTGCTGTCTGTTTACTTCTCAAGGGAAAACCTAGCTAAGGAAGGGAGTGGAATGTTCCTGCATTGGGGCACGATTGTTCTTAGAATGGTTTCTGTTATAAGAGTCAGAGGTGGTCCTTGTAAGTCATTCAACATAGAAACTTAGAGCTCATAAGTTTGCCTGTCATTTTACAGCATGGAAGAAAAGTGTTAACATTCCTATATCTCTTTTTCTAGTCTTTCAAAAGTATAGTTATTGGATCCTTTGTTATCCAGTTAGCAAAGATAATTAGTGGACTCCACTATTAAGCAACTTTTTTCATTTAAAAATAGTACTTTTGTACTAAAATATTTTTGGAGGTAAAATTGTTAGAAGGTGTGTACATTTAACATTTTAATGGTTATCATCTTATTATTCTCCAATAATACTGTACCAATTCACACTCCAAAGGAGCAGGGCGAGAAGCTGCCTGTTACCCAGTGTTGACAAAAATGTGGATATCCTCATTTTTTGGAATCTTTGCTAATCTAATCTGGGAACAATGATTAGTAATTTTAATTTGCACTTAAGTTTTAAAGTAGATTAATTTTTCACCTATGAATTTGTTTCCTTGGTCCATTTTTTTCTTTGTTATTGTCAACTATTTAAATTAAAATCTGTATTAAGGAAATTAGAGTTTTTTAAGTTACACAAAAGTGTTGTAGATATTTTTCATGAATCATCTTGTTTTATAAAGTTTTATATAGTTAAATGTGTTTTTTCTATGTAGCTTTTGAGCTCTAAGAATCCTTAGAGAGGCTTATTCCACTTTTTATTACAAATATACATTCAGGTTTTTCTCTGAAAAATGTTTATTAACATTTAAGTATTTAATCTGCCTGGAATTTACTCAATATACAGACTGACAGAAGGAAGCAGACTTTGCCTTTCCAGTAGCCCCCAGCAGTCCCACTGAGTAGTCCACTGCTTCCCACTGATTGGGAAGGTCCCTTTGTCATACACTGCATGGGACCCTGTCTGGGCCCTGTTGGCTCTGATGCGTGTGGGGCCCCATGGCTTGCTGGCGCCGTGGGTGGTAGACAGGTTTCCCTCCCCTCATTCTGGGTGGACATCAGGGCTGCTCTGTTGTCCTTCTCGGCTTGGGTCTGCCTCGGACAACAGAGTTTGTCGGTCCGTTTAGGCTGCGTGTCATATGGATCATATGACATCTCTGTCCACAGATTCTTTCTGTCCCTTTATTTAAGCCTTCATTGATGCTCTATGGTTCGGTAGTTTTTTTCATTTAGGTTCCGTAAATTATTGGTTGAGTTTATTTCTAAGAATTTAATGATTGTATTTCAACAGTATAATTTCATTTTGTGTTTTCAGATTAATCTTTTTATTCCTGTATAGGCAAGCGATTGATTTTTGTCACGTGATTTGAAAGCTGGCAAACTTAACTGACCTCAACAACTTTTTAAAAATAGTCAAGATGTACCTTATTACTGTTTTAGTTAGTAAATGTCATCTTAACGCTTAGTATCATCTTTCTCAAACTTTAATACAGGTAAAAATAGAATTCTAGAATTGCATTCAGTACAGTAGCTACTAGTCACATGGTTATTTAAATTTACATTTATTAAAAGTAAATAAAATTTTAAATCCTCAGTTTCAGTAAGCACATTTCAAGAGTTAGATATAGCTAGTGGTGACCATATTGGGCAGCACAGACACTTCTGTCAACTCAGAGTCTTCAATCGCTCCACTGTGGAATGCCTGCTCCACACCTCCACCTGCCCTTCATTCCCTCAGGCCCAGCGCTTTGTGCTTTCAGGCCCTCTGGGAGATGGCTGAGTCACCTGAACCTGTGCTTACCCCTCTGCTCCATCTGCCAGCATTAAAAATATGTGTTCGCTTTCACTATGAAAGGCGTGGCATTAGCTCATTTACATGATCCTTGGGATTTCTCTATTTTTTATTCAGGTTTTTTATTGTAGTAAAACATAACATAAAATTTACCATTTTAGCCATTTTAAGAATCCAGTTCAGCAGCGCTGAGCACATTCACAGTGTGCAGCCATCACCACCATCCATTCCCAGAACTTCTGCATCTTCCCAAACTGAAACCCTGGGCCCCCTAAACAATAATTCCCTATTCCACTCATTGCCTCTCAGAATTTGGCTGATCTCAATGGGATCATACAACGTTTGGCCTTTGGCGTCTGGCTTTTGGACTTAGCATTGTAGGTTGCGGTTTATTCAGGTAACATGTACAAGCACTTCTTTTTCAAGGCTGTGTGACATTCCCTTGTGTGGGTGGACTGCACTGTTGACCTGCTTGTCCATCAATGGACACCTGGGTGGCTTCTACTTTTCGGCTATTGTGAATCCCGCTGCTGTGAACAAGTATCTTTTTGAGTCCCTGTTTTCACCCCTTTGGGATACATCCCTTGGAGTGGAATTGTGGGGTCACATGGCAGTTTTGTGTTTACCTTTTCGAGGAACTGCCTGATTCTTCCACAGTGGCTGCACCCCCTCACAGGCCCCCCAGCCGTGCACGAGGGCGCCTGTTGCTGCACCGCCAACGCAAGATAGTCTCCGTTTTTTTCTTTTTGACAGTAGCCATCCTAGTGGGCATGACGTGGTATCTTGTGGTTTGGATTATTAGCTCCCTAACAATTAGTGATGTTGAGCGTCTTTTCATGTGCTTATTGGTTATTTATCTTCTTTGGAGAAATGTCTGTTCAAGTCCTTTGCCCATTTTTTGATCTGGTTGTTTATTTTCTTGTTGAGTTGTAGAACTTCTTAATATATTCCGGACGTTAATCACTTACCAGACATATGCTTTACAGATATTTCCTCCCATACTGTGGATTGTCTTTTCACTTTTTCTAGATAGTATCCTTTGAGGCACAAAAGTTTTAAATTTTGATGACGTCTACTTTATCTTTTTTTAATTGCCTATGCTTTTGATGTCACACTTAAAAATTTGACGAAATCGAAACAGGAAGATTTTCACCTGTGCTTTCTTCTAAGCGTTTTATGGTTTTCGCTCTCAAATGTAGTCTTCGATCCATTTTGCACTAGTGTCGAGTTGGTGCTGGGTGACAGCTGACCTCATTCCTCTGCATGTCGTGTCCGGCTTTCCCGCCGCGGTGTCTGAGAACACTGCACAGAGCGGGAAACCGCTTCCCGCTGCACCGAATGGCCCAGGCACCCTCCTGAAGGTCAGCTGACGGACACGTGACGGTCGATGCCTGGGTTCTGTTCTGTTCCATTGGTCTGTGAATCTGTCCTATGCCAGCACCGTACCACAGAGTTTGATTACTTACGTAGCAAGTTTACAAATGAAGTATGAAACCTCCAACTTCGTTCTTCCTCTTCAAGATGGTTTTGGCTATTTGGGTCCCTTGAAAGTCCTTAGGAAATTCAGGATGGTTTTTTCTATTTCTGCAAAAGATGTCATTGGGATTTTGGTGGGGACTCATTGAATCTGAAGTTCGCGTTGGTAGAGTTGACATCTCACTGTTCAGCCTCGCAGTCCGTGAACAGCCTGTCTTCCCACGTGTCCGTGTCCTCTGACTTCCCCCAGCCACGCTTTGTAGTTTTCAGTGTCCGAGTCTTCCGCTTCCTTTGTTAATTTATTCCTGCGTGTCTTACTCTTTTTGATGTTGTTGTATGGATGGAATCGCTGTTTTAATTTCCTTTTTCGAATCATTCACTGCAAGTGTATAGAAACACAACAGATTTTTGTGTGTCGATTTTAAGGCTGCAACTCTGCTGAATCCATTTGTTGGCCGTGACGGTTTTTCACGGACTGTCAAGCGGCCTCTGTATGTAAGATGGTGCCATCTGCGAACGGAGGTAGCTTTACTTCCTTTCCAAGCCGATGCCTTTTGTTTCCTTCTTGCCAGTCGCTCTGACTGGAACTTCCAGTCCTGTTTGGGCAGTGAGGGCGCGAGCAGGCGTCCCGGTCTGGCCTCTGATCCTGGGGGAGAGAGCTCCCAGTCTATCCCCACCGACCGACGTTAGCTGTGGGTTCCGTACGCGGCGTTTGTCGTGCTGAGCGGGTTCCCTTCTTCTCCTGGTCCATCGTGCCGGGGTGTTGAGTTTTCCAGGTGCCCTCCGCATCGCCGGGGATGGCCATGCTCTCCCTCGTTTGTCCACTGTGGCCAGCACTCAGTCGGCGTCTGTGTGTCGGACCACCCCTGCCTTTAGGCTGAGCCCCCTTGGTCATGGTGTGGGACCCTTCTCACATCCTGCTGCACTCAGTTTGCTAGAGTTTCCGTGAGGACTTTAGCATCTGTATTCGTGAGGGATGCTGGTCTTCAGTTTGCTCGTATTGTGGTTTAAACAGTGGTTTGTCTGTCTATCAGGTGGAAGCTGTCTCTGATAAATGGGAAGATGATAGCAAAAACCAAGGCCGAGGACTGTCAGACTCCAGCCCCCGCGTGCTGATTGGCTGTGTGACTTCGTTGATGGAGGGCGCCGGCTATATCAGTCAGACCACGTACTTCTCTCTGGAGAGTGTGTGCGAAGGTAGGCTGAGGCGTTTCTACTTCACGGTTAAACATGGGTTTCGCGGGTTGGTTTGTTTTTCATTTTTATGGGTTAGATTTGAGGTAATTACATGCATTGTTGAGCAGGTCAAACTAGGGCTTGTTTTGTGTGCTGAGAGGTTGGGGACGGGGACAGCTCCGGGCTGGCTGCAGGCAGCGCCCCCGGGGTGGGGAGGCGTGTGTCGCGTGCTTGGCTGTGGAATGTAGTCACTGATTGCCGGGTGACTGTCCCTGTCATAGTTATCCATCTAAGTCAACACCATTCCAGATATACAAAGGTGCTGCTGTTTTTTAAGCACATCACACGTTCTGAAATAGGGTTTGGCGATAACCTCGTACTTTTTCAAGAGTTTGTATCTATTTTCAGTTGCATTTGTTTTTAACTGATCTAAGGTCTTATTTTCATTCCTAAAGAAATAACTCGTCAATGCCCCTGCCACGGATGCGTGGTGCAGTTACATTTTTTAATATGACACAATTTCATTTTTCACTCAGTGGCCTGGAGTCTCAGCTGCATTTCATGGTTGACGAACTTGACATTGTAGGCACCTTTCACTGGTCTCTCTATAGGCTATGATATTTTTAACTGAGGAAACATCATTAGGCTCAGAGCAAATTCTGCTAAATGTAAGATAGTCCCGAATCTGGGTTTTTTGCTGTTGACGTGCATAACTGTTTAAGGCCTGTTCTCACAGGAACTGGTTTTTGCCTCTGTGGCTACAAAAGTGTTCAAATATTTTTTTAAACTAAAACATCGAATAAGTTGTCTCTCCAACTTTTTGAACACGACACCCAGTTTGGAGGCTGTGAATTCACGCCTTGTCGGTTGCGTGTGTCCGTTGACAGACCGCAGGGGTCAGGGCGCGACGAGCCGGCGGGAGTTCAGCCCTGACCCGCTGCCTGCTTTCCGCGCGGCCTCCGTGGGGATCAGGGCTCCGTCTCCCTGCTTGCCAGCCGCACTTTCAGTAACTAAATCCACAAAGGCTTTCGAAGCTGAGCGTTTCTGGTCCCACGCCTGCTGATACTTTGATTAAAGATTTCCAACTAATTTTGAAAAAGCATAACCAAAATTTAGAGGTCTCACTTAAAAAAAGTAAAAGGAGAACCGTTGTAGGCTTGGTTTACAAAGTGCCTCTTCAAAGGTTCAAACGTTTGTGAAACTGGCATGGCGGGCCCCTAGGCCCATGCTTCTGTTTTGCTAACATTCGCTTAGTCACGGAAGTTTTGTAGTCACTCACCTTTACACATCCGTAAGTGCCGTGAGCTGGCGCCCCAGCGTGTGGGGCGGGCCTGGCGTGTGAACGTGCGCAGTCTGGCCCACACCTGCCCAAGGGCCTCTCACCACGTTCGGATCTTGCTTTATTATGGTGCTTTATTCCATCAAAACTTGTATTCCTCTTATGGCAAAAATGAAAGTTTTTATCTTCAGAGGTGAGGTTTTTAAACTGAATTTACAGTAGCAGTCACAATATCAGATATTTTTTCTTCAGCAGAATGACCTTCCAAAATCCTTTGATTCTATGATTCTGACGGGAGAAAAATCAAACTTATTTGAATTTGTGTCATTTTTCTCTACAAGTAACTTGTTTATACAGGTCACACATCGAAAGCTCTTGCTTTGCTTTTCATGTCTGTCTAGGAAGATTTGGAATAAAAAAGCAAAATTAAACAGTTATTTGCTGTGTGAAATCATGGTTTACAGAGTGACTTGTGTAAGTGTCTCTATAGCTTGTCACCTTGTGCTCCTGGGCACGCATGCCAGCTGGCCTCGGGCAGGTTTGTCTCTGGTGTTGCAGGACCAGAGCTGCCACCTGGCCCTGTGCTCTCTGGTGGCTGGCAGCAGATGTTAGGGCTCTTATGTGTTCATCACCAGCTTTCTTGAGAAACAAACTCAGTATCCAGTTACGTACTTTTGTTTTTTGAGCTTATTGTTGGCAAAGGTGTTTATTGGAAAATAATTTTTAAAAAAAGTTATAATTAGTAACTTCACACCATGCAAATATGCTCAGACTACACTGTCCCTGTTTTGTGTCAGGACAGCTCAGCCACTTCATGTCACTGGACCTTCCAACTTTCCCACCTGCCCTGCCACTGGGGGCCCGGGGCCACCTTGCATCCCACAGGCCGTGGCACAAGCCACAGCACAGCTACCGGGCACGCCGAGGCAGACAGAGCTGCCCAGCCGGCAGGTCTCGGAGCACTCGCTTTCGTCTCCAGACACCCTGTGTGTCCCTCACGGGGAGGGCCACTCGCACTGTCTGGACAGAGCTGGCAGAGTAAGATGCTCACACACCAGTGGGACTGTCCAGCGCGTGTGTGTGCACGCCACAGAGGTGGAGGTCTGCCGCCGCACTTGTTCGCGTGAAGCTGTCAGTAATACCACTTTGAGATTTTGTAACAAAAATGTGGGGAATATCTGAACGCAGCAGGGATCCTGAGACCCCGCCAGCCAGATGCGTGACTGCCCCGCCCGGTCCTCTCTGCGGACAGGAGGTCAGTCTGCGCTGTGCTGTGCTCCACCGCTAGTCAGGGGACCGGGGGCGCTTAGGCTGGTGGG